GTTCCTCATAGACCACTCCGAGTACTCCACCGTCCTCCTGCTCAACCTCATCTTCCCCTCCTTCGCCCACCCGCAGGGGTTCGGCTACCTCGTCCCGCGCCCTGAGGGGGGGTATGGGGCGGCGAACGACGGCCCCGGTGTACTGGGCACAGTGTTCGATAGCGTGGCGCTCGGGGAGCAGGATACGCTCAGGGGAGTGACGAAGATGACGATGATGTCCGGCGGGCCGTACAAGCGCAGGTTCGGAGAGCCTTACCTGCCCGAGTTCCTCGCTGCGCTGCGGGAGCATCTGGGCACGTCAGTCCCGGATCCGCTCTACCACCGGTGTGTTCTCCCCAGTCAACGCTAGAGTGCCTCGCTGACTATGCCTGGTGTGCCTGTGCAGCTTTGTCCTCCAAAAGAAGTGCATCCCGACCCCGCAACTGGCGCACACCGCACGCATATCCCAGCTTCGGCAGGCGCTGGGAGAACGACCGTATGCGGGCCGGCTGGAGCTCGTGGGCGCCGAGGTGGGCGGGGTGAGCGTGGGGGACTGTGTGAGGCAGGGGAGGGAGGCAGCGGGGAGGGTTGCGGAGATGGTGAGGAGGGGGGTTGACGCGGGGTGAGGATGTGCCGCTGTCTGTTTGCTGCTGAGAGAAGGATGCGGAGATAGCAGGAGTGCTAATTGATATTTCACAACTTTACAACTTGTGGGCCTGCCAGCTACCGTTGTTGGGGATGGGACCCTGTGTACACCAGGGACGAGGGACGATGACATCAACGCCCCCAAAATATGCGCACATGGCCATCAGGGACCGCGATCGGCCATACAGTATGTCATCGCATCCACAGCACAACAATCCTCGGCTTTACCTCCACTCCACTCCCACAAGTACTCCCATTTCCCTGGTGTCCTCTCTTCACCTAGTACTACTCTGCTACACTCTCCTCCTGCCCCGCGCCCCCGCCGCCGCCAACAATGACCTCCACGCCCACGCCGATCGACCCCGCCTCGCGGCCGCACAGCACCCTCCCCTACCCGCCCATATACAAAGATGCGCAATTTGTAGCCCTCTCAGACTGGTGCGTACCCACGTACATACGTGCTGGAGTGAGTGGGTGTTGATTGTGTGCATATATAGGGACGGGACGATCACGAGTATGGACTCGAATGATTGTGCGTGCACTTTCCTTGCCCTGTTTCCTGGCACTCAAAGAATCCTCCACAGTCCTGACAGACAACCTTGGCTTCGGGCTCGAGAAACGGTGCGCTCCCTTCCCGCTCATGCGTGCTCACACGCTCACGGGATCACAGGCGCGCGCTCAACATCGAGGTCCTCGCTGGCCGGATGACCTTCCGGTGTGTCGTACTTCCCATTGGGTGTGGCATGAAGCTGACGAAAGTGAGCGGGCAGGGACGCCTTCCGGGAGATGTTGCAGAGCGTGGCTGCGAATGGGCATTCTTTCCAGGAGTGTGTGGAGGTGCTCAAGAAGAGTGAGTTTGCTGGGCGGCTGGATGGGGGAGATGGACAGGCGCTGAAGGACGAGGGCAGACATCAAGCTCGACCCGGGGTTCAAGGATTTTTACAGGTGGTGCAAGGAGCATGATGTGCCTGTTGTCATCGTCTCTAGGTGCGTCCCTCCCTGTTCTCACGGACGAGCAGCGGCTGAGGTATGCTCTTTGTCGATGACGACAGTGGGATGGAGCCCACCCTGCGCGGCGTGCTCTCCACGCTCCTGGGGGACGACGAGGCCTCGGAGATCGACGTGATCTGCAACTCGGTCGTGGTGGAGGACGGGGGCAAGAAGTGGGAGATCCAGTACCGGCACCCGGACAGGTGCGTGCGGCTGCGGTCGGATGTATGCAAGGTGCTCACGGACGGCGAAAGCGGGTACGGGCACGATAAGTCCTGGGCGATCTTGCCGTACCGGGAACTGGCGCATAGGCCAACGCTCTTCTTCTTTGGTGATGGCGTGTCAGGCGAGTCCCGAATTTTGCGAGTAAAGCGCCCGCTGAGATTGTTCCAGACATGTCAGCCGCCAAGCACGCCGATCTGCTATTTGTCAAGATCAAGCCCAACGGGGAGAACGACCTCGCCAACTACTGTCGGGAAAATAAGATCAAGCACGTCGAGTTCACCTCGTTCCACGACGCGCAGGCGATCGTCGCAGACGTCGTGGAGGGCAAGCGGACTGTAGGGGAGGTACTAGAGGCCGGGCAGTAATCCTCCCACAACGCGACGTGCGCTCCGTCCCATTAGATGTTTTAGTACAAGCTAGAATAAGTCCTTGCCGGGGGAGATAGAACTAGAGATCGGGCAGCTCCCGCTGAATGAGGCGCATCCACGTGTTCTCCTTCCACCACTCGTCGATCGCGGCGATCCGGTCAAACACGGCCTCCTCGGACATGCCGTACTGGGCGTAACGCCCGCCCTCGGCAACCGTTTCCCGCGCCTTGCCCTTCCCGCGCGTCCCGTCCTCCCCGCGCAGCACCTGCGTCAGCTCGTCCTGATCGGGAAAGTACAGTCGGCCCTCCATCACCCCCAGCACGCCCAGCGCAGCGCGGAAGAGGAACGAGTCGCCCTCGAGCAGGACGAGGTCCCAAATCCGCGCGCACGTCTCGAACGGCAGGTGCAGCAGGAAGATCGGCACGATCCAGTCTGGCAGGTAGCGCGTAGGCGGGATATGATGCTTCTGGAAGTTGTAGTACACTGCACATACGCGCAACTCGTTACCAGGGCTGGGGGAACGCGAGCGGAGATCGGAAACTTACCCTTCGGCATGAGGTCCGCCAGCAACGTGTCGAATATTCTGAAACCCCACATGGACTCAGCCGTGGAGCAAACCACACTAGAAGTGAACTCACCGATAGTAACCTTCCATCTAAGTGCATGTTAGGGAATTATTTTGTACACTCTGCGTTGAGACTCACATCGTCGCTTTGCCCCGCATAGAAGGAGCGTATGCAGTGTCGATCGAGCAAGTTCCGGAACGCGAGGAATGCTTGCTCGACAGGCATGTTGATGAGCAACATGCCCGCCACGTGGGACGCTCCTTTCACCTTCGAAACTCGTTTAGTTCAACGCCTCTAGTGCTGGCATCAATGCTCACGTATGACAAACTTTCCTCGCTCCTTGCTATTGTCCATGCACATAGGAGGTCCTTGAGATCCGGATACAGCGGCCCGTGAACGGCGTCAAATATTCGTAACGAGGGCATGGTACCCGCAATATCATCCTCGATGAGCTCCAACGTTTGTCGTGGGAACTTGCCAGCGGTGATGGCCCTGCGGGCTCGCGATATGTATGGACGATATGAGTCTACGAAGCCGTTGAGCGCTCTCAATTTGGTAGCCCATCGTAGAACCTACCTTTGCTCAACGCTAATGGATTGCCGACCGTAGCCGCCCAAATTCGACCCCTCAGCTTGGGCGGGACGCCATTCCACCATAGTTTCCGGAGCTTCTTGTCCTTCGTTGCCGCGGCAATGTCCGGCATGACCTGCTTCTCCCAGACCTCAAGGGTCTCCGCCCTTTTCCGTTCCTTCTCAACAGCCAGCAACTCCTCTTCCTGTTTTCGTTTCTCCTCTAACATAATCGTTCAGCATAAACTAGAGCCGGATGAATCGGCCAGGAACGCACCTGCCGCCCTCGCATGCGCCATCATCGTCTGCCAGTCTTTCAGATGCTTCCTATCCTCTGCTTTTGGCTTTGGGGGTAGATAAACGGGCCGCGTCTGGCTAATGACACTTTCCAGAACAGATGGCCCTCGGTGCCGCGTTCTTCGCGGCGGGACGAAAGGTATTGGTTGATCATGAGAAGGTCCACCGTTGGTCCTGCCGGGACTTTCCGCGTCTGCTGCTTCGTGGCTTGATCGAGCAGACCCTGGCGCCGACGAGTCCGTTGCTGATGCAGGCGTGGAAAGGAAGGAGGCGGTGGTGGAAGTCATGCCGGTCGTAGGCGTGGGCGTGGGCGGCGTTTCCCGACGCGAGCCGGGCGTGGATTCAAGCGAGATGTCGACAAACTCCGTCGAGAGGTCTCGTGTTCGTTCCATGACCCGATTCACAGGTGGTTCCTCATACGTTGGCGTGGTGAGGGTCGCAAGAATCGCAGGAGAGGTCATATCTGGAGTATGTGGCGCGACTCCGTTCATGTCGATAGTAATGGTGGGCTTGCCATCGTCGGAAGAAAGGTCCACTTCGCTCATCCCCTCGATGGCGAATGATGATGTCGTGGGCGTTTTTTGCTCCGGATAGTCATCCACGACCTCGCGAAATGCCGGCTTGCTCGGAGTAGTTGATTGCTCCTCCTGCGGCTCTTCCGCTTCTTCAATGTCCTCTGCCTGCTCCTGCTCCGCCATCTCTCGAAAGGACATTGAGGGTGGGATATCGAACTCTTCCAGCACGTCATCTTTTTCAAGGGAGAAAGCATCATCCAGGTCATCAAGATCCAACGACGGTTTCTTTATGTGTTGCCGGGATACCTCCTTGTGTCCTGGGTCGCGCGGAACGGCGTCCTCCGACTTGTGCTTCGAGTGGCCGTTCAGGTGGACCTCGGCGAGAGGCTCCTCTGCGCCAGCTTCATGGAGGGCCGGTTCGCTCATCGTTATTGACACCTGCCGTAGTGCGCCACAGTAGTAAAGTTTCGTCGTGAAGCAGTCGACCCGCAGTAAAGTGGATGTATGCTGGGTATTATTAGCGCAGGTGCGGTTCAGTGTGGGCTGTAAGGGTGGCGCGAGGAGCATGAAACGCCACTGGTCCCTTGCAAGCCCACCCCCGAGCGCATCGGCTGAGCGCGAACACCTCCAGCTTCTGCTGGCTTCTCAATGGAAACGAACGTCTTCTAAAGACGACAGAGAAACAGTCATTAACGCCTTGGAATAAAGGCGATCGTGAGAAACTTTGAGAAACAAGTGGGGTCACAGCCCTCGAGGCAGCCGCGTCCAAGTCGGATCTTAAATCCGACCAGCAAACTTATACCTTGTGTAGTCAATTAATAAAAACTGGCTCCCCTGAATGTCTAGTCCGAGATGGTGTAATGGTTAACATTGGTGCCTCTCACGCACCGGCTCGGGGTTCGATTCCCCGTCTCGGAAGACAATGACATTTTGCTCCTCTTGCTATGGATGACCGTAGCCTGTAAGGCCGATCCCTGTTTATGTCCGCTCAGTTTTTGTAATGTCCGATTGCCTATGTCCGAACCACGGCTAGTGGCGGACGGCGATGTTTATGTCCGACATTGTAGTCTATGTCCGATGTGAAAGATTACGTCCGACGGAATTCATTATTGCCGACATTGTTTATGTCCGACACATGTGGCAGATTAGGTCCGACGCTGTGCCCAAGAGATTATGTCCGAAAGGGTCGGTCTATGTCCGACAAAAGTCCTTATGTCCGACGATCGCACTCATGTCCGACTGGGACTGGGAAGCAATTCGCGCCTTATGGTAACTGAATATTTCGGGAGGTGCCCGACTCGGAGCTGTTAGATAGCCTTGATGTAGTGAACAGTGGGTGGCTCCCGGGGCTGGTAAGATGGGAAGACCACGAAGGCCGACGAGCCTGACGTGACTGGAAGCCGTTGTCGCTCTCGATGCGCCGTCCAAACGGAAGCAGACGCGTCCACCAGCTCGCGTCTCCATTAACGGTCGTCGCGCCAGAGCCAGAGCTCGACATTACGGCCATCTCCCAAGATGCTCCTTCAGATAGAAGTGTTCAACTTCAAGTCCTACCGGGGCCATCAGGTCATCGGCCCGTTCAAGACGTTCACCTGCGTTATCGGACCCAATGGCGCTGGCAAATCCAACCTCATGGACGCCATCTCCTTCGTGCTGGGTGTCAAGAGCTCCCATCTGCGTAGTGGACAGCTCAAGGATCTCATCTACCGTGGTCGGAAGCTAGGAGGTGCCGATGGCGCTGATGAAGCGGTGGACGATGATGATGAAGCAGGAGAGGGGGATGCTGATAAGGCCTGGGTCGCGGCCGTGTACGAGGACGGCAAGGGAAAGTCCTATCGCTTCCAGAGGACGTGAGTGGACAAGCATATGGCCTGCCCAAGCACCTTGACTGACGATCTGTCTCTCAGCATTTCCTTGGCTGGCGCTTCAGAGTATAAGGTCAACAACAAAGTGGTTTCGTATCAACATTATAACACCCTCCTCGAGCAACACCAGATTCTGGTCAAGGCGCGGAACTTCCTCGTCTTCCAGGGCGACGTGGAGGCGGTAGCCAGTCAGAGCCCGAAGGATTTGTCGCGTCTCATCGATCAGATCTCTGGGTATGTGCATATATGCACCATTACCGCGTTTCCTAACTTGCATCCAGGTCCCTCGAACTGGCGCCGGAATACGAGAGAGCGAAGGCTGCCCAGGACCGCGCTACCGAAAACGCGACGTTCAACTACACGAAGCGTCGCAGCATCGCCACGGACATCAAGCAGTATCGGGAACAGAAGACCGAAGCGGAAAAGTTCGAGAAGCTCTGCTCCGACCGGGTGCGTCATTGTCACAGATCGGACCAGGATGAAGGCTGACATGTGTGTAGGACGCACTCGTTATACACCGCCTGCTGTGGAAGCTGTATCACATTCAAGATACCATCGATAGCAATACAGAGCTCATTAAATCAAAGAACACGGAGCTTGCGGCTATGCGAGCCGAGCAGGTGGGCGAAGACGGTTTCCATACCAGATGTATGTTCACTCTGCTTGTAGGCAAAGCTCGATGCAGTCTATGACAAAGCTCGCAAGCAGCAAGCTGAGCAGCACAAGAAAACTATGCAGGCAGACAAACAGATCAAGAGGGCAGAGAAAGCACTCGAGGAGAAGGCGCGTGCATTTCTTTCCCCGGTGATATGACTTGCTGAACATCTTGTTGCAGAGGCCTAGAGTGGTAGAGCTTAACGCACAAATCGAGCATGCGCAGGGGAAGGCTCGTAAAGCGCGAAGCTTGGCTGAACCGACCCAACGGGATATCAAGAAGGGCGAGGAAACCGTTGAGAGGCTGACTGCCGATCTGTCCGGAGTACAAAAGGCGGCGAAGACCGCAGCTGGTGAGAGCAGCAGCTTTGTCAGCACATCCAGCTGATTGATGTATGCCTACAGATGCCGCACGTGCTGCCGCGCAGAAAGGACTGTCCTTCGGGGAAGAAAGTTTGGGTGAATATCAGAAGCTGTATGTCATTACCACAGGCCACACTTGTCCACTCACGCTGACGCTATCCTGAAGCAAAACGCAAGCGTCAACGTTAGCTGTTCCAGAGCGCCAGCAAAGAGAGACTCTGGCGCGAGACGAGAAAACGCATAAGCGTGCGATGGACCGGCTTTCTGATAAGTTCGACCAGCTGCGGAGTCAGAAGGAGAAGCTGTTGTCGGATGGTGCTGCTCAAGCGGAGAGGAAGGAAATCGTGAGGATACTCCTTCGCCGAGAGAGTTCCAGCAGCTGACTTTGCATGTCAGGTACAAAAACGCGTGAAAGAGCTGGAGACTGAGCTGACAAAGACAAAGCGTGAATTGAACAATGCCATTGCTGAGCGCGAACGAGTGAAGTACGGAATTACGAACCATTGATTGTATTTACTAACATATATACAGTCAATTGGAGCGTGAACTCGGAGAGAAGATTCAGGATACACACGATCGGTTACTCGAGGCTGGCATGGATCAGCGCGAGTCTGAGCGGGAGATGAGGCTCAAGGAGACTCTCGACGAACTGCAGCGTCTCTTCCCTGGCGTTCGAGGAAGGGTCATCAACCTCTGCAAGCCGATCGCACGCAAGTACGATACTGCTGTGTCTATTGTTCTCGGCAAAGACATCGATTCCATCGTTGTTGACGAGGAGAAGCAGGCGATTGAGTGCATTGAGGTAATGATGATCAACACGCATGCTGTACGCAGGCTGACACGCTTTTCTAGTATCTTCGCAACCAGCGAAAGGGCCAGGCAACCTTCCTTCCCCTCGATACCCTGCATACGAAGACCATCCATGAGCGATACCGGAACGTAGCTAGAGGTGCTCGCCTGGCATTCGAGCTAATCCAGTACGACCCTGCTGTGGAGAAGGCAATGTTGCATGTGTGCAGCAATTCACTTGTCTGCGACAGCATGAAGATTGCTCAGGACGTGTGCTACAACAAGGGCCTGGATGTTAAAGGTAAGCGGTTTGCACATATGCTGGGCCAACAACTGACTCACCACATTAGCCGTCACTCTCGATGGGACTGTTATTCACAAGAGCGGTCTCATCACCGGTGGTAACTCTCGTCACAACAAAGACCGCAAGTGGAGTGATGAAGACACAGCTGGTAGGTCGGCCGCGTCGTATGGCTCTCCAGCTAACTCTTGTACGACAGGCTTGAAAAAGACCCTCGACAATCTGGTTGGGCAACTGCGAGAGCTGACGCAGACGAAGCCTCGCCATTCTGTCGACGAGGGCTTGCAGACTCGCATCGCAAATCTGGAGAGCAGCTTAGGCACGGCCAAGGACGAACTGAATGCTACTTCCATTCGTCTGGCTGGGATCCAAGATGAAGCAAAGCATGTTAACAAAGAGCTCAAAGCTGTGCAACCCGAGCTGGAGAAGGTGATCACAGCTTGTCCCCATGCGTGATCGCAGACTCATGGCATGCTCTAGGCGCGCAAGACTTTGGAAACCGCACACGGTCAAGTGCAGAAGCTTTCTTCTGTTATCGATAAAGCGGAAGACCAAGTCTTTGCTTCTTTCTGCCAGACGTATAAGATCAAGAATGTCCGAGAGTACGAAGATCGCCAGCTCAAAGTACACCAAGAGGTGGAGGAAGCAAAAGTCCGGTTTGAGACCCAGATCTCACGGCTGAAGCATCAGTAGGTGATACAATGGCATTTACGACCATCTCTTAATGCTTGCCACCAGACATGATTTTGAGTCGACCCAGCTAGCTCACATCAAAGAGAGGCTTGAGAGACTCGAAAAAGCTGCATCCGACACTGATGCGACACTATTGCAGCTTCAGCAACAGAAAGAAGAAGCGGAGGCTGATATTGGCCAAGATGAAGAAACACTTGCGCAGCTGCGTGAAGAGCGTGACGAGCTGGCACAGGCAGATGAGCAGGAGGCTCGGAAGGTCTCGGAAGCGAAGCGCGCTGCGGGAAAGGCCGCTGCCGCACTTGACAAGACTCTCAAGGAGGTCTCTGATATGGTCCGTCTTTGAGCGTCACTGCGCACATTTGTTATTAACAAGGGGCCGTAGAACACGCAGATCGACAAGCTGGCTGCGGAACGATCGAACATCTACCGCAAGTGTCGCATCGACGAAATACAACTGCCGCTGAAGTCAGGGAGGATAGATAATGTACCTATAGAAGAAGTAAGATATCAAAAACCCCGCATTGCGCACACCAGACTAATGTTTCCACAGAATATACGAGATGAAATGGCCATGGACCTGGATGGCGACGAGGACGCGACCCAGCAGCCACATCAAGTGCAAGATTACGATCTAGAAATCGATTTCGACGATCTCGATGATGATGACCGTGAAAACGGCTCGCCTGAAGCACTTGGCGAGATCGACTCTAGTATTGCCAAGATTAACTCTGAGATCGAGAAGATGGCTCCAAACATGAAGGCCATGGACAGGCTGGACGACGTCGAAATCAAGCTGGGAGAGGCAGAGAAGGAGGCAGAGAAGGCTCGGAAAGACTCCAAGACGGCACGAGAGGACTTTAACGATGTCAAGAAGCGGAGGTGCGATCAGTCGCATGGCAGTGGATCTGTGGACTGACACTTGATAGATGTGACCTCTTCAACAAGGCGTACAACCACATCTCGGACGTGATTGACAAAGTTTACAAGGATCTCACGAAAGGCAAAACTGCTCCAGAAGGCGGTTTTGCGTATCTGTCGCTTGAGGACAGCGAGGAGCCGTACCTGGCGGGTGTCAAGTACCACGCGATGCCGCCGATGAAGCGGTTCCGTGATATGGAGTTGCTTTCCGGCGGGGAGAAGACGGTGGCTGCGCTCGCCCTGCTTTTCGCCATCCACAGCTATCAGCCATCGCCCTTCTTCGTGCTCGACGAAGTGGATGCGGCGCTGGACAATACGAACGTGGCCAAGATCGC